TAATTCCCTATCAAGGGTCATGTCCTCAGTAATCCTAAGTCGCGTCATGTCCTGTCTGATCACTTCTCCCCAATACTTCTTAGGTCTTCCTCTACCTCTCCGCGTGCCCACTACAGCCAGTCGATCACACCTCCTCACCGGTGCATCAGTGCTCCTCCTCTGAATGTGCCCGAACCATCTGAGTCTTACTTCCCGCATCTTGTCCTCCATGGGGGCCACACCCACCTTCTCTCGAATATCTTCATTCCTAATCTTATCCATCCTTGTATGCCCGCACATCCACCTCAACATCCTCATCTCTGATACTTTCATCTTCTGGATGTGTGAGTTCTTTACCGGCCAACATTCAGTCCCATACAACATGGCAGGCCTAACCACGGCTCTATAAAACTTACATTTTAGTAACGGTGACACTTTCTTGTCACACAAGACTCCCGACGCTAACCTCCACTTCATCCACCCCACCCCAATACGGTGTGTGACATCCTCGTCAATCTCCCCGATCATCTGTGTGACAACTACAATATCATACAACTTAAATATAATTTTTATACAATATTGTTCAACTTTCATAAAATAGTTAAATAAATAAAAGAAAATATATAAACAATAGAATACAATTTTTCTACAATTTCGTAAATATAATGTATATCATGTCTTCTTCTTCTTCGAGTTTCAATCTGAAATTCAGCCAAAACCAAGTCTAATCTTCACCAAAACCCCTCAAAATTGGAGTCAATTAATTTATATTCTCACCTTAATTTAATATTTAATCTTGATAAATTAGTATAATTATAAATTTTTACCATCTTGCTCATTGTACTAAGGCAAACTACGAAGAAAGCTAAAAACGCTTAGTACAAAAGGAAGAGCTAAAATAAATTAGTGATTTTCTTCATTCATGCCTTCCAAATGTGATTACAAAGCTAAAGTAGATAGGCCAGTGGAAAAGCAAAGTGCACATGAATTGCTCCTGAAGTATAATACTTGTGTTTTGGCCCTTCAAAAGTTTTTTCTCCTCCAACAACGAACTAACAATGATCCTCCCATTATTTAGTTGTAAAAGAGTTAAACGAAATTGCGATAACGCTACAAACTTATACCAAAAAATAAATGCGGGACCTATCTTTCACACACACATTTACCACTTAACCATGGTTAAATAATGTGTATTTTCACTTTAACTTTTAACTATTAAGATTAATTAAATTGATTTGAAGTAAACACACGATGCGAGTAAGTATTTAACCCTGACAATTCCACCAATTACTTGCTATAATTGCATTGTAATACGAGGAATTTATCCAACCATTACATGGCTGCATGAGATACCTTACTTTTGCTTTATTTGCATTGTAACGAGAGGAATTTATCCAATCATTACGTAGCTGCATAAGATGAACAAAACAGAAAGGAAGAAAAAACAAGGATTGTTTAGGTAATTGAAACTTTTGGGCAGTTGAGAAGCAAATCGTTCAAACAATTTTGCCATGGTATACCAAATTGAGACTTCAAGAAAATGTTTTTGAGTTAAGATGCATAGAATATAATTTCTCTGTACAGGAAGTCAGCATATCCACTGAAATTAGAAATCTAACTAATATTTACCAACCAAGAGTCCAAGATAAACCCCTAACAAAAGAAATCTAACTCTAGATTGACAAGGTAAAGTGGTTTTAGTTAGCTCAACTAAATCTATTGTTCAAGAGGAAATCAACATCAGGAGTCACAACAGCTCGCTTGCCTATTTCCCCAAGTTGACAACAGTGCTTCTCGACAGTATTGATTGCGACAACATCTTGAGAAAAAGAGCAATCTACACCAGGAGAAACCTGCAAGTAATTTCTTGCTGTTAGAGGAGTTTCATATCGAAGGAGCGTTACAAGCTACTGCATCTGGAGAAGCATATGCTGGAGACGTAAAATGCTTTGACAGTGGTTCGACTAAACTTCAAAAGAAGGGTAGTAATCTCAACAAGTTAGAAACAATATAACAAGGAGTACATTTGCGAAAAACTGCAGTTCTATTTTTCACTTCCATTGCACAGATCACTTTGCTACCTCAAACTTCAAACTCAAGGCAGATGAACGAGGATTTAAAATCAAAGTACCAAAGTTCAAAAGTTATCGACAAAAAGGCTACTGTGTGACCATTAGGGGAAGCTTACAAATTGTTTGAACCAAAAGTCTAAGTGGAAATAAGGGAAGAAAACAAACAGAAAAAAGGTGTGACACATGCTCGGGTAAATAACTTGGTTTTTTGTGTAACAAAAATCTATGGCTCGGGTCCTTCATGGACACTTCACGGTGCTAGCTTAAACACACTGAAGTCGTAAAATTTTAACCACTTTTCAGAAGCGTAAAATCGTTTCTGAGAAGAACAATTTATCATCAAACTGAAAAGTTTTAGTTTGTATAAAGCAAGGGAAAGATGCGACTCACATCATAGAGAATGTCTCCAAGCTTCAACTTGATTGCTCCACTCTTGTAAACCAGCATTTTCCCCATGTTCCCCGCAGGTAACTTTTCCAAATTGCAAGCTTCCTTTGCAGTATTATGCCTTCTGGAAATTGTAGAGCTGTCAACTATCTCTTTCCCCTTTGCACTGGCAAGAAGTCTAGGAGCAGTGCCAGCTGCTTCTTTTCCCTTGAGCATAGGCGATGGCAAGCAGCCAGCAGTATCTCTACCTCCTTTGGTAGCTAGGGGTAAATTAACCGGAAGCTGAAGAAAAAGAATCTGTACATCGTCCTTCTTTTCCTGTTAATCAAACATACATATTGGTAACCCATGTGCAGACATTTTTGTTTACTAAAATATGTTTTTGTATTCTCAATTTATTGCCTAGAGCAGATACCAGTAAACCAAGCTCTGAAGCAGGATGTATATTATTTTCATCATACTCTGCATTTGCTGCAGCTTTTCCAAATTCAGCTTCATCTAAAATTTCTACAAGCCACAAAGAACAGGAATAAAGGTTATATGCGAAGTCATGACATGAAACAAGAGAAACGAGCACCAGAGTGATAGCATCTTCTTTAAGACTATATCCTTTCACTAATAGGCAACAGTTATTACATACGGGAGCACAATAATTTTGTTTCTTTATCAACATTCATCACTAAAAAGAGTATATGATTTGAAACAAATTTTATGCACCCAAGCAACTCCACTGACAAGAGGGACCAAACTATACTCTTCCACTTGCAGCAAAATAGTTGGAAATCGTAGAGAAAGACAGTAGCACGTTACTATAACAGATAAATACTTAAGACAACGTCCCAGATTAAGTATATTACAGCAGGCACCGATATTAAGGCAAAAACTGAAGTTTCGTCGTATTCAAAGTGGAAAAAGGTCTAAAAGTGGATAGACATTTAACTTTTTTAATGAATTCACACTTTTATGGTAAACTGACAGAAAGGTATTTTCCGTTTGGTGATATGAGATGGACAATTATAGGGACAAGTTTTTAATTTACAGAAATGGACATACTTTTGAGGCAATGTACGGGAAAGTAAACTAGTCAATTAGGGGCAAATGGAGTAGAGTATTTTTGCGTAAAGATATTCTGTTCAATCAGAAATACCTGGGTCTCCAGCATAAGGTCTTCTCAGAGGAAGAGTTATAGGATAGTTGGTATGATGGTAATCCTGCCAAAGCATCAAGAAGCAAAAGGGTCAAAATTCATGGACGTTGGCTTGTGCTTTGTGTGCATAAAGAGAAGTGATGAAGGAAAATCCTTTACCCAAGGTTCTTTATACTCTTTCTTCTTCCTTTTTAATAAAGCATCTGAATTACTGACTGAAATTTCAGCAAGATCTGCTTCAATACTTGAAGGTAAAGGAGGTGAAGAATCAATGTCCATCCTATCATCAGATTCAGGGTCTTTCACAGTACTACCCCGATTGATAGCGAGTTCCTTAGGCTTTCCAAAGGTCCTTATGGAAGTTGGTGATGCTACTCCATGAGCAAATGCAACCTCAACTGCTGCTTTCATTTGAATGCCAATACATTTGCATAAAAAGAAAATCATTGATGACCATAAACATAAGGATGAGAAAACTGCCAACGACCAATATGATAAATAAACTTTCGGGAGCACATATTTATCCAGAAAATAGGAGGTTCTAACTTGCATGGCAGAACCCTGACAAAGCATCAGAATCCAACCTTATGCTACAAAGCTGTTCATCCAAAGATCAGGAGCACATGCAATATATGTGCCACTTATTTGGGATTCTATGTATTTAGAAGGCCTCACGATACATAAAACATATCTAGATCGATCAAACTAGCATATCTCTATCTAGGAACCATCCAAACAGTAACTTCGGCCCCAAATACGTATGATGTACCACTCTTTTGAAAAAAATGCTTGGTTATTTAACTCTATCCAAGTTTGAACATCCTTACTCTTCTATAGATTCAAACATTGGAAAATCTTGTTTGAAAGGAGAAGTACGTAAAACCTTTTCCATAAATCTGAACATATTAGAAAATCTTGTTTGAAAGGAGAAGTACGTAAAAGCTTCTCCTTGTCAGGAATATCAAGTACCTTAATACATTAGCATATGCAGTCTGCACCATAGACACATGCACAATGAGCACCATCTATCTTATTATAGTAGCAGAGAGAAACAGCGATGTTTCATAGAGCACAAATCTCAAATGAATATTGACTGCTAATTGAGGTGCTCATAGTTATAGGTTTATGTACATGGAACAACATTATTGGGTTAGAAGCTTTAATTGCAATATTACCCTATTACCCCTACCCCAGCCCCCGGGAAAAAATAAAAAATAAAAAACCATGCAGGTTGCATAAGTAAGAGGACTTGGAAGGTCACTTAGAAGTCAAGAGCTGGTGGACTCATAGAGTGTATGAGCTANTTGTACTCACCAAATCTTTACCAAAGAGGCACACCAGTAAATAACTGACGTGCCTAAAAAATTAGCATTCACTATCAGATTCATGTTACAGAATCACCAGTTAGGGTACTGAAATCATCAAGCTTTATCCAGATATGCTAACTAACAGGCACCTGAAAATTCTGTATCCTTCTTCCAAGTCTTTCGACATTGCATAACAAATAATCAAGTAATTTTTGTATTTCTTACAGTAAAAAATGTGTTAGCTTCAGATGACAATAGCCGTTTCAGGCTTAAAACAATTTTGATCGGTGGAAGGCACTAACATTTCCCCTCTTTCCTCTATCCCTTTCCAAAAACCAGACTCAAACATTCAACATATTAATCACAATGGTATCTCATTGTTTACTATGCCTGCATTATGCTATATGCATAAAAACTTGAATAGCGAGATCAACCTTTACAACTGACGCTGAACTGAAGTATCAATTAATCATATAAGGAGAAGAGAAAGCTTACCTTTTTTCTCTGTTTTAGGTTTCTGTCTAGTCAGGCGCTCCTGATCAGATGAAAGAGAATTGTTATTGGAAAAAGACTTAAGAAGACTAGAGTTGTAAATTTGTAACAGAAATACTACTAAAATGATCTAAACTATCACTACATAGCTGAGAAATAACTTCTATACGAAATGCTTATATGGATCGAATGCTTCGTATATCATCTACTAATATTACGGAAAATACTGTTAATATACTTTTCACGAGAAGGTTTTGTCGAAAGAGTGAGAAAACATCGAGAAAACAACAAATATTTTTTGGTTTTAACCCTGCGACATTAAGGGAATAGAAAAAGACCATATAGAAATATTTTCAAGTTTAAATGGCATCGACTGATCGACCGGGTCTACAAATGTGTCTGTTCTTCTGTTATTCAGCTTTTGTCATCAATAACGACCCTTTTGCATGGGATGCACAAAGTTACTAAGAAATGCATCCTCTCAAATCCTCTATCAGATAATCCACGCCACATAATTTCAGTAATAATTCCATTTTAATGGTGTATCATTATATCCTCTTTTTCCCAAAGTGATGTAAACTTATTGATTGCACCTCCACTCCAAAGTTCCATACATTTGGATTTGAATCCCCATTATAGTCTTTCCCTCTTCTTCTTCTTCCCCTTTCTATATTCACAGGGCCACCTCAGCTAAACCACCTTTATTTTCTCTATTATTTTTGGAAACAACTATTTTATAATTTTATCGAATGTCCCCGAAGGGACACAACAATTTTTATAATGACCATCATCCTACTACAGCCTTATTCCCTTATTTGGCCTTGAGATCGGCTATGCAATCTCAGGTAGGAAGAGTTTGTATAAAGCGAGATAGAAATATGAGGATTGATATAGCTAACTCCAATGCTTGAAACATAGTTTTAAGCATGAAAGACCAGGGGAGAAAGGCAAATACTACTACTACATGAAAAGCTGGATAGTAATTTTACAACAAATATATAAATAGATAAAATACCAACAGAAATAAAAAAGAAATTCTTGAAATCCAAAAAGCAAAACCAACCAAATGTCAGAGCTGACATGACCTTGGCTGACTACAAATATCCAACTAAAGTTCCTTTCAGTTCTCGAAGTGAAGCTAATAAAATACTAGACAAAAAGATAATTAAATAAGGGTTTTAAGTTTTATGTACTAACCATGTAAAAAAAAATTATAAAATCGAGTCTCAGTTGATTACAAGTAAAAAAAATGTTTTTTTAATGAATGAAGGTAAAAGGTAATTACAAGTAAATTTATGTGATAAGTATTTTGCAAAAATAAAAATATTTTTCACGTATCTAAATTTTTTTTCATAGAGCTCAAACTCTACAGCTCTGAGTAACTTAAATCATTAAAATAAATACAAAATAATTATTATACCTTTTTTACGTACCATATAACTATAACTTGAAGACGTGACACTACAAAATAGAACTACGATCTCTAATCATTGTGCTAAAAGCCTAAACTATAAACACATAACAATTAAAAAGAAAAAGGAAGGGTAAATTACATTAACACGGTGCAGAATAGCCTCCGCAGCTTCATTATCATTGGTATCTTCATTTCTATCTGCTTCACTGTAAAAATAGATAATAATAATAATAATAATAATAATAATAATAATAATAATAATAATAATAATAATAATAATAATAATAATAATAATAG